TATTTATAGTACATTACAATAACCCAACTAACCGTTAATAATATAAAAAAAAATTTAAAAACACTCACCTGAACAAAATTTTATTTTACATTTCTGTACGCGTTTCGAGCTTAGCAGCGGAACACATTTGAAGGATAACCTGCCGGAGACTGGCCACTTGCTGAGGGGCTCCTCGAAGGTGAGCCGTTTATATTCCTGATCTGCATGCTAGATTTGTACCAGTTTGTTCTAGTTCGGTATGGGAATTTTGCTATAGGCAAAATTTAGATTTTGGGGTACATAATTTTTAATTTTAGTTATTATGGGATAAGGATAACCTGCCGGACTCTGGCCACTAACTGGGGGGGCTCCTCGAAGGTGAGCTGTTTATATTCCTGATCAGTATGCTAGATTTGTACCGGTTGGTTTTAGTTCCGTGTTGGAATTTTGCTGTGCGCCCGGGCAAAACTTACATTTTTGGTGTATATATTTAATTTTATTTATTATGGGATAAGGATAAGGGTATTGGGGGTGATTAGGTATTTTGGTGAATATTGTGATGACTTTGAAGTGGCATGGGATTTGACTGTCATTAATACGTTCTTTATGGAGACTGAAGACCAGTATGTTACCTATAGTAGCGGGGGAAAGGAAATTCAGATAGATTTTGTGCTGTGTAGAAAAGTCAGCTAAAAAAGGATACCAACTGTAGAGTGATAAAGGGTGAGTGTGTAACTAGTCAACATCAACCGGTGATAGTGGATACGAAGATCAAGGTGAGGCGGAAAGGAAAGCAAGTAGTATACCAGAGCAAGTGGTGGAAGTTAAAGGATAAGGATTTGACAAGATTATTTAAGAGTAGAGTGCTGGAAGAGCTTGGAGAAAAAGATACGTTAAATGGATGGTGAAAAGCCAAGAGTTCAGTTGTGGTGCGAGTGGGAGAGGAAGTGCTAGGAAAAACAACTCGTAATGGGCCTTCTTAAGGAACGATTGAGTGCAACAAAAGGTGTCTAATATAAAAGGTAGAAAAGAGGGAACCAAAGAGCGCTGTAGCTACTGCTAAGGAAAGATCGTCTACACAGCTGTATAAAGAGTTATAAATACCCTATGGGATAAAAAGGTTATACAGCATTGCTTAACCAAGGGACAAGGCATTAAAGAACTTAACCCACGTGCGGCAGATTAAGAGTGTGGATGGAAAAAGAGATGGGTTAAGCGAATTTTGCTATAGGCAAAATTTAGATTTTTGGGGTACTTAATGTTTAATTTTAGTTATTATGGGATAAGGATAACCTGCCAGACTCTGGCCACTAACTGGGGGGCTCCTCGAAGGTGAGCTGTTTATATTCCTGATCTGCATGCTAGATTTGTACCTGTTTGTTCTAGTTCCGTGTTGGAATTTTGCTGTGCGCCCCAAAACTTAGATTTTTGGTGTATATATATAATTTTATTTATTATGGGATAAGGGATAAGGGTATTGGGGGTGATTGGGTATTTTGGTGAATAGTGCGATTGACTTTGAAGTGGCATGGGATTTGACTGTCATTAATACGTTCTTTATGGAGACTGAAGACCAGTATGTTACAAGGCTCTTCACAAGTCCCTACCTGTTTCAATGTTAATATGGATCTTCTGACAAAGAAAGTAAGGGAGAGGGCTCCTTGGTCAATGCTCTTTGCTGATAGGCTTGTGATAATTTGTCGATGGCTAGTGAGTCGTGAGTCGTTGCGTGTCTTAACGTATTATGGAAGATCTCGTTACAAAGATTTTGGTAAGTTTTTTTTTTATGTAAAACGTTAAAAAAGATCAAAGAAATAAGGTTAATTATCGACTTTATGTCCGAAGTGAGTTCATATGAGGGAATTTGTCTGCAGTATTGACTGTATGTTTCTGTGTTATGGAAGCGCGTTTTCTGGCAGGACACTTGTGTGAATGTTTGCCGCAGCAGTTTGAACAAGATGGTGCATTTGCCATTAATATGATTTGTGATTTTGTCCGCAGTTTGGACAGATAGTGACTTTTTGTTGGTATTCTGTGTTGTGCTGTCTGCTTTGGAAGCATCTAGAACAGTATTTTAAGCGAAGCGGGATGACGTTATTCGATCCATGGATCTCACAACATATAATCTCTCCGTTCAGATTAATACCGTACTTCATTGCTTTCCGCGAACTTTTGTTCTGAGTTCGCGAAAACTCAAACGAAGTTTTAAGGGATGTTATTTTAGCGGGCAATTATTCTGACGATTTTAGCGTGACGGTTGTGTCTAACAAATAGACTTTTAAGTGGGCTATGTTCTTGAGAAGAAGTTCGTTTGATTTTAAAATATTGTGGAGATGTTTTTGTTGGCAATTCTTTCGTGTGATGTGTTCTATAAAGTATTTATATGGGTTATTTTTTCTTACTAGGTTGTCTTGTGTGTAATGGCTGTAGAAGATGGTTCATATCCATTGTTTGAGTTGATTGGTGGTGGAAGAGCTTGAAAAAAAAGATACCTTAAATGACTGATGGAAAGCTAACAGTACAGTTGTGGTACGAGTGGGAGAGAAAGTAATGGGAAGAACATCTGGTAAAGGGCCTTCTTTACCAGAGACAAAGAAACGTGGGGTGGAACGATTAAGTGCAACAGATGTTAGAAAAAAGAAATGGGCTAGAAAGAGGTATAATAGATCTAAAAGAGATAATGATAAGGATATATAAATCGTGGAAAAGTGGGAAGCAAAGGGCGCTATAGCTACTGCTAAGGAGAGATCGTCTGCACAGCTGTATGAAGAGTAAGAAACACCGGATACGATAAAAATGTTGAGTATTGCTAAAGCAAGGAACAATTCATCAAATAACTTGACCCAAGTACGGCAGATTAAGAGTGCGGATGAAAGAGGGTAGAGAACCGATGTTGAAATAAAGCAAAGACGGCATGAGTGCTTTAGAAAGTTGCTAAGTAAAGAACACCAGACGAGAGATAGAGGATACGGGATCCCAAACGAGAATGTAATACCGGGGATACCGAGAGATGAAGTTGTTGAAGCGTTAAATATGATGAATAAAGGTAAGGCGGTAGAACCTGATGGAATAGGTGTGGAGGTTTAAAAGGCTCTAGGAGAGGAAGGAATTTTGTTGAAAATGGTGAGTAGGATATATAAGAGGAAGAAGCGATGCTCAATGAATGGAGCGAGAGAGTGATGATATCATTATAGAAATATATAGGACATTGAGGACTGAAAGAACTGTAGGATACTGAGGGATAAAGTTATTGTCTCACACAATGAAAATTTTGGAGAGAACTGTGGAACGAAGCTCAATAGGAGAAGAACAGAAGGGTTTATACCAGAAAGGAGGACAACGGATAACTTGTGTGTTTTGAGACAGTTGATAGAAAAATGTGGCGAGAAAAAAAAAGAGCTAAATTTGGTATTTATAGATTTTTAGAAGGCGTACGTCACAGTTCCTAGACAAGAGCTATATAGATATATGAGAGAGAAATGGGTTTCTGAGAAGTACATAAGGCTCATAAAGGATATGTATAACGGAGCGTACACTGCCGTAAGAACTTATATCGGATTGACCGAAAGTTTTCCAGTGACGGTTGATTTGCATCAACGCTCTTCACTGCGTGCTACCTGTTTAATGAGAAGATCTCGTTACAGAAAAGTTGGTAAGACTTTTTTCAGGTAAGACGTTGAAAAAGATCATAGAAATGAGGTTAATTATCGACTTTATTACGTCCGAAGTTAGTTCGTATGAGGGAATTTTTCTGGAGTAGTGACTCTCTGTGTTATGGAAGCACGTTTTCTGGCAGGACCTTTATGTAAATATACCGGCTGTTTGGACATAATGGTGCATTTGCCAATCATATGATTTGTCATTTTGTCCGCAGTTGGGACAGATAGTGGCTTTTTGTTGATATTCTGTATTGTGAAGTCTGCTTCGGCAACATCTAGAACAGTATTTTAAGCGCAGGAGGATGAAGTTATTCGATCCATGGTTCTCACAATCTCCCCCTTCAGCTTAATACAGTACTTTAGTGCTTTCGCGAACTTTTGTTCTGAATTCTCGAATATTAGAATGAAGTGTGGAGAGATGCTATTTTGGCGGGCAATTATTCTGACAATTTTAGCATGACGGTAGTGGCCTTATGAGAGAACGTGTTTAATGTTTTTGTGTGAAAGATTTTTGTTATCGCTTGTCATGACGAAATGGAGGTTTGATTATTTGTTTTAGCAGATTTTTGTAGGGTGTTAATGAAATATATGGTGCGAATAGTGATTATGTTCTCGTAAATATGGTTTCTTAGTTTTGTCTGGAATTTGTGGATATTTAGGAGTTGGAATGAGTACTGTTGTGTCTAATCAATAGACTTTTTAATGGGCTATGTTCTTGGGAAAACGTTCGTTTTATTTTTAAATATTGTTGAGAAAATTTTGTTGGCAAATTTTTCGTGGGATGTGTTCTATAAGTTATTTATATGGGTTATGTTGTCGTGCTGAGTTGTCTTGTGTTTGTGTTGCTTGTGTGTGATGGCTGTCGAAGATGGTTTATATCCATTGTTTGAATTGATTGCTCTTTAGATTGAGTCGTATGTTTCATTTTATGTGTGTTGTTTGTAAGGTGGGGGGCGAAGATTCAGAAGATATTGTTTCTATCGCAGGATTAGTCGGGACACTTAGCGGTAACTGACTCGAATTTTGAGCTGCGTAGATTTTAAGTTTTAAATAATCGGTTGAATCTGCGTTAATTGTAGAATTGTGAATGAATGCGTGAGTTTGGGTATGTTTATGTGATGTTTTCTGAGATTGAACTGTGAGGTAGAATGGATGTTTTTTGGTGGGATCTGTTTGTAATGGTAAGGTTTTGGCTACGGTTAGAACTTTGTTCTCCACCAGTAGTGACTTAAAAGTTGGTATGAATACAAGTGGTTTTGGTCTCTGCTGTAATACAGTTGTTTTTGTAAGGAAATAGACATCGGTTTTTGGTGAAATTTTCACAAAGTGTGAATTAGGTTACAAAATGCAATTATAAATAATAGTTTTTGTTCATTTAATGAACGATGAGATTTGCAAGATTATTAAAGAGCAAAATATTGTACTTTGAACTGGTTTTGGGTGTATCAGCGTCAAATAAAAAGATAATGCTAAATATTCGATAACAATAAATTTATTTAACAATAATAAAAATATCCCCTAACACTTTATAGAAAAGTACATTATAAAAATAAAGCATTTACTTTTTAATTATTTATAAAAATAGTTCCTAAATTACCTAGAAGTTAAAAATTATTGTCATAGAAAAGATTCAAATAATATTTTATAAAAAAATATGTATTTTAACAATTGCTTTATTATACAGTATTGTAAATTGGGAATGTATGTTACTAATATCGCGACGAACTTGGCTATTTTATTTAAATATAAATAAAGTTTTAATTAATTATAAAATGTCATACTATTTGCTTTCCTTTAAAAAAAAATATTTTCTGTCGTGATTTACTTGATATTTTTTTTCATATTAATCTGTTAGAGAATGTTGCTATCCATGACTTTTACATTTTTGTTTCTATCCCGATACGTGTCTTTCAGTACACAGTAGTAGTAGTAGTATAATAATGTAATACAAGCAGACTGGAGCAGTAAGATCTAAACAAATTGAAGGTCAACCTTCTATACTTGCAACATATGATGAAAAAGTTAAAACATTTGTATGACAGATAGTACACATCTCCTTTTTCAAGAATGAAATGCCCACTAAGTCAAATTAACAACCGCCCAAATCTTCCATAAGTAAGTAAATATAGGTATGCCACAAATATGTAGTAAATAAAAGGTGCAACACAAAAAATCTTCATACTGTGTCTGCATAAGGCAATCAATTAGAAGAAAAAGAACTTTACTCAAATGTACGTTTTATTATTTTGTAGGTACTTGAAGAAAAGTCTAAAAACTACTCGCATTGAACGCGAAGATATTATACAATGCAGACGTAATTACCTAACTTCTATAAAATAGTACTGTACGTAACAGAACAACATTAGAAAAGAAACTTAGGGTTTTATTCACCAGTCCAAAGCCTAGATTTAAAAAAGACTTGCTTTAAAAATATCATTTGCTCGATAACATCTGATTGATAATTTACTAGCTCTCCCTCTAAAGACGGAATAATGTGTAGTGTCGTATTTTGGCATCACCCTTTGTCGCAAATGAAGCAGAGTACCCCTATGGCCGATATAAAATAAGCCTCTGCCTGTATTATTTAAAAGAGTCATTCCAAAATTCGGCCAAATTAACAGATATCAACTTCTTTAAGTTCCCTTTCTGTAAATTTTAAAAAACTAACAATGCAAAGTTTGAAGTTTTTAAGCTGACTAGAGCACCGTTTTCGGGGCATTTCAAGAGTGAATAGCAACATTATATACAAACAAGTATACTTAGTAAAAGAAATTACAGGCTTATTAATTGTTAACAACGCAAAACAAGAAATACAATGGAAAACGTTGTAATATACGACGAAGTGGATGGTCTCGAAAAATATAGCGGTTACCAATCTACTAAAAGGTTTTTCTGAAATGAACACTAAATCTGGCGCTAATAGGACCATTATATTTTGTTAAACTCAGCCTATTATCACGTCATCGAGAGCAATGTGATAAATTATTACTTTTATATTTGAGCAGAACACAATATCTATACAGTCTAGTGATGTAACGAATGTCATTTTTTGAACATTCGCGAATGCGAATATATGCCACCGACATTCGCGAATTCGAATATTAAGTTTTTGTTAACTTGGCAATTTTAATTGTCTCCGGTACTGCCGGCAGTCTCATTTGCGCGAGGTGTGTAGTTAGATAAGTTCGGATAAATTTAGTAATTCAACAATTATGCAGAAGATAATGCTCACAACTAAAAGACATCTTGTCGTTTTGGGAAATATCCAAGGAAAAAGTGAAATGTGTAGTTCGCGATGCAGGTGCTAATATGAAAATGTTGATCATATTGACTGTGCTTCTCAGAAGATTCAAAACGTGATAAAAGCAGGGATGAAAGCTCAAGAATCTGTCGTGGCTGCCATAACAAAATGCAAAAATATGGCAACTCATTTTCATCATTCGACTGCTGCTTAAGATGAGCTGACCGATATACAAAAAAGGCTTAATCAAAAACATCTTAAGATTACTTAAGAATGTGCTACTAGGTGGAACAGCACTTTATTTTTTAAGTCAAAGAGTCATTATGTCTGTAGTCTGTACGCTTCGGCAAATAATAAAATTCTGAAGAGTGGATGATTGTTGAAAAACTTAAACGTTTACTAAGACCATTTGAAGAAGACACCAGAGAGTTAAGTGCTGTCGATGTTTCTATTTCTTCTGTAATTCCCTTAATCGACACTCTAGAAAAAGTTGTTCATGATATTGATTCATCTGATGAACACATTGGTGATACGATTGCCGTCATAAAAATGAGCTCATTCGTAAGTTTTCGGGTTTATAGAATGAATTATTGTTTACCACGACGACCTTCATTGACCCAAGATATAAAGCAAAATTTTTTAAAAATACGTCGACTAAAGAGCTTGTCATAGAGCATATTTTGGATTTGCTCAGAGACAATCAAACCGACATATCTTCCAATTCACTTTACCCGAATGCAAAGCGTGTCTGTCCTTAAAAGAAATAATGAGTTTACTGATGGATACGACTGATGGTAAAGAAGATGACATACCTCTTCTTAGTTTTCAAAACACTGTCCATCATTTAATCCGTAAAACTGTCACAGAATACTCATTGGAAAAACGTGTGGCAGGTGACGTCGACCCCCTAGCATTGTGGAAAGTGAACAAGGGAAGGTACGATCTTCTTTTTCCTGTAATACGGCAAAATTTAGTTATATCACCAAAGAGTGTCCCTAGCGAGCGCTTGTTTAGTGGCGCTGGATTTCTTAAGACGCCACATCGAAACAGGCTTGAAGGAGAAAAGGCGTCAAAGCTTTTATTTCCAATAATATTTCTCTGTTTTTACTTATTGTTAAAAAAAACTTGAAAAATAAGTCAAAACAGAGAATTTGTTATTTTTTAATAAGAGAGGGCGGTATTTTTGTTAACACAAAATTAATATTTTTCGAAAATCTCTATAAGCAAATAACGGGCTGTTTATATTTGTTTGTTTAAACTCTTTACATAAAAACATATAAGACTATTTTTAGTTTGAATAGTATTTAGTTGAATAATTTTTAGCTTTTTGAAGATGATTGTCTAAAATTAAAATCTTCAGGATAATAAAAATTTCAGAGAATAATTTGTTTTTGTTTGTTTACATTGCATCATTTATTTTTTTGTTTTCTAATTTTATAGTTTTCTAAGCTTTAAAAGAAAGTGAGTTTTCTTAATAAAAAAAACTGAAAAATGGATTTTTATTTTATTAACCTAATCTTCAAATTATTTTTTTCTTCTTATATTTATATTTGCAAAACATTCGCACAAATTTCGCGAATGCTAATATTCGTTACATCACTAATATACATAGTATTAAAATAACTGACCTTTTTAAAAGATCAATTATAATATTACATTTTCTATATATAAAATTTTCTAGCTTTTTAAATTTAGATAATGATATGGTTCCACAAAATATTTACGAATATTTAATATAAAAAAAAATAACTAAAAAATGACAAATCCAACGTATGTATAGAAAGTATGTATATATTAAACAAAAATATTCTAGATCAATTTAAATTACACTATGAAACGAAATTTCATTCGAAATATGACCATGCATAGTACAAAAGATATGAAATCTTAACGTACATTTGTAATTAATATACATTGGGAATTATTAACGGTAATTATAAGATTAGTAATATTTTATTTGTATTTCGCCTTGAAGAGAAAACGTAAATGGCATTTTCCAATAGTATAATTGTTGTTAATTCCCGCTATATATTAACTATAATACCCTCAAAAATGGGTATAAACGTTATAAAAGTTGACCTACACGTCATGAGCGTTCATTATATTTAGTCGATGTGCGACCATAGATCGGAAAGTTCATTGAAATATCGACAATAATTATTTTTTACATTTTTTTTAAACTTAATAATAAACATTATGGAATTTATTGCTTCTACACCATTCATAAGCGTTTCTAAACATCTTCTCCCATGGACTCTTCTTGTAATGTACCCAGCTTTGTGGCATGTACGGCCATTGGAATGGTTGAACGCATCTTTCCGGATGCGGCATCATTGCTAAATGTCTTCCGTCTTCGGAACACACTCCCGCTAATCCTTCAATACTTCCATTGGGATTCATAGGATAAATTTCAGTCGGTTTACCATTATCGTCTACGTAACGCAAAGCGACAAGGTCTTCGGATTTCAATTGGTCATAGATGGTGTCTGATTTGAACGTGAATCGACCTTCTCCATGAGCAACCTACAACACGTGATTAATAAAATTGATTAGTTAAAAATCATATACACTGATGAGATTAATGTGAAATTTATTCATTGTTGTTCAGAAGTTTAATATTATTGAAACTCTTCTTAGTTAAAATTTGGCAAATTTCGTCTACGATGGTACCCTTCGCGTCATAAAAAAACTGGTACAACTCTTATAACCGAAAATCGTGTTTTTCAAGTTGTGTAATTGTTGTTGATCTTATCACATATGTCATTCTAATTTTTATGGCAACATTGCCAGTTCAACGAAATATTGTATTAGATCAGCTAAAAGGAGGGATGTACGACAGACGCATTATAAAATTGCAGTAGATGCATTCCAATGTTCCTTGTGCAAATATTCCTACGTTTAAAGATCCTTTAAACATTTTGGGCATTAACGCAACCCTCTCTCTGTTTATTAAATTTATTAGATACGGTTTTTTGTTAATGATAATAATAATATCTATAGAAAAACTTTAAACATTTTTTACGTTCTTTTTTATTTAGATTTAGTACAATTCCGTTATCTGTGATGGCAACAACGAGTTGATTCTCGAACCAAGTCTGAACACAGGTTTGCATTGGGAAACAAAGTGTACCAGTTTTATATGACGGGAACTGTACTAAATGTATATTAAATATTGTATTAATGTATTACTACAATAGAAGTGAGTTGAAGTCATTCAAAACAATTCAGAATTACTAATAGAACTTATAGGCAGGCACACACGAAGGTGAATGATTTATCCCATCTTCCTGCTGTGTAAACACACAAGTCATAATATTTCTCTTAGTGACCCAGAAGTGGTTGCCGCCTGTCATTTAGTGATTGGGCGTCATACAAGATACGGTTAACTATTTCAAGTTCTTTGCTATAGATCTGCAGCTTAGGTCTCCAAGAAACAGCCCATTGTATGCAGAGTTACTTGATAGGCTCATGTCCAGTAAAGAAGCGTGTTAAAATTGTGAGCAGATTTCTGCTTGTTTTCCACAGTAATATTCAACTCTATTAGTGCATCTCCGTCCAATATAAATTTTGACATGTGCTTGACCGAGTACACTTTTCCATTGCAAATTATGTTGTGTTTGAACCTAGATTCTTTAATTACTATTTAACTGGGAATAAGCCACAATTAAAGATAAAAATACGTTTATTGACGTTTCAATTTCCACTTCGGAAATCGTTATTAAAATACAAACAATTTAATGTTTGTATTTATTTTGTATTACGTTTTATTAATATAGGTACACATTTTTATAGTTTTAAATCAGATAAGGTAGAATCTAACGTACGTGAACCAAACGGAATCCCTGCAACTGTACTCTTATGGGATTGTTCGTGTTGTTGTTACTTGTGAACAGTACAATTATACAGAAACTCTTGCATCTTCCAACGGAACCACACTTTAAGTGTCCTGACGCATTATTTTTAAAGGTGGGTAGAAACTCATTAAAAAATGATAATCATCATCATTATGTTTTGAGTTCATTGAAAAGTCTAGTAACTCTTTTTTTTTCCAAAGATATGAATCGCTCGATATCCAAATCATATTGTTTACGTTTACGCCCTTGGTTAGTTTTTGGAGCGCTTACTAGAGGATGACTTACTAGGTTCGAGTTCTTCAGCATTTTCGTTGGAAGTTCCCGTATTAATTTCAGCCTGTGATATATTACGAACTGCAGTATATTATTTAGTTAAAATTCAATTATTTTGTGATAACAAATCATGCTCATCATTAAGTGAATCATTGTGAATATTCTCAGACATCATATAATTTTCTTCAGTAGATGGTAGATTGCCAGTCATGTTGCGACATGCCATTAAATCTTTTAAGAAAATTCAACTTTTAAAATGTGCCCAAGTGAGTATACATTATATTGTATACGTAGGTGTTTTTGGGGAATTATGTATTAATAGCATTAACAGCATTTAACTTTTATTGTTTTGATTATTTGAGTATTTTGATATACAGTTTAGATAACCCAAACTAAACTAATCTTTTTGGCGAAGTCGTTAGTTTTTGGCAGAATGGTTTTCCAATTACAAACACCTCAAATAAGCAAGAGCATATGTAGTAACGTAATTATTAATAAACAGTACTCCTCTGCAACCTCAACCCATAATGTATTCACCTTGTCACCATTGTGATTTTTTTTTACTGTTGATCCCATATTCGAATATGGGATCTAATCGACGAATCTTCTTCTTACGGTGCCTTATCCTTAAGGACGTTGGCCATTACATTTGCCCATTTAATCTTATTTGTAGCAGCCCTGAATAGTTCTATGGAGGTCATGTTCGTCCATTGCCGTAGGTTTTTAAGCCAGGAGTTGCGTCTTCTTCCTGGTCCTCTTTTGCTATTGACTTTGCCTTCGATTATAAGTTGGAGCAGTTCATACTTTTGATTTCTTATGATGTGACCAAAATATTGTGTTTTCCGTTCTTTTATTATAAGCATAAGCTCTCTTTCCTTATTCATCCTCCGCAAGACTTCCGAATTTGTCGTATGGCTCATGTAGGATATTCTGAGCATTTTACGGTAACACCAGAGTTCGAATGCTTGGATTCTTTTTTGTGTTGCTTCTGTCATTGTCCAGGCTTCAACACCATAGAGCAAGGTGGAGAAAACATAGCACTTAAGTATTCTAGTTCTCAATGAGATGCCCAGCTGGCGGTTGCATAGAACTTTTTGCATTTTGTAAAACATTGTACGTGCCTTTTCCAGACGTATTCTTATCTCTAGTGAGTGATCCCAAGTTTCATCAAGATTACTTCCAAGGTACGTTGTTCTTGGTACTCTTTCCAGATCTGTTCCGTCGACATTGACCTTCACCCTTCTATTTTGGTGCTTGCTGATGACCATCGTTTTTGTCTTCTTTGTATTCAATTTCATTCCAAATTCTCTACAGGCTGTCGTTACTCGGTCCATTAAGCCTTGCAGGGCTTCAGCATTATCTGCCAGTATAACAGTGTCATCAGCATATCGCAGGTTATTTATGCATTGCCCGTTTATAATTATACCATCCGAGGTGCCTTCCAAAGCTTTCTGAAATATCATCTCAGAGTAAACATTGAACAGCAAAGGTGATAGGACACATCCCTGTCTTACTCCCTTCACGATATTGATTTTTCCAGATGTTTCGCTTTTTATTCTGATTTTGCCTGTTCTTGGTAGAGGTTTGAAATGATCCTTAAGTCTTTATCGTCGATATTACATGACCTTAAAATATCTATTAGTTTATCATATTTCACCAGGTCAAACGCCTTCTGAAAGTCTATAAAACACAAGTATACATCAGAATCGACATCTCTACATCTTTCAACTAGCACACGTATTGAAAAAAGTGCTTCTCGAAGCACTTTTTCGAGTGCTTCTCGAAATCGACGAATAAAGATTGTTTATTACTATTTCCACATCCATATCGCTCGCTAGACATGCGACTACTGGCGATGGACTCAAACATTCTTGAAAACCAAACTGAAGCGCATACTAGCCGCTACTAGCATCGCATCGCACTAAATCGCGCGCTATTTGAACAAGGCACTTAAGATACAAGTGTTTGTTATCATCGCATAGCAAAGTATCGAATCGCTGATCGCGCCATAGCAGTCTGTGCGAACGTACACTTGACTGGAAAATCATCCAGACGATCTTCGGCCTTTGTACATAACCAGGGAGTCTAGGGTAGCACATGTACTGAGACCGAATGATAAAAGACTACTACTGCAGAAGGTCGGTTGGTCGTCCAAGAAAAAGATGGAAAAATGCAGTAACAAGTGATCTACGTAAAATTGGAGTACAACAATGGGAGATTGCTCAAGTCCGGAAAGAGTGAATAAAAATAGTAAACGCGGCTAAAACTACAACTAAAGTTGAAGACCCAAGAAAGAAATATAAGAAGTCGGATAAATACGATAGGGATATAGTATGTCCGATTCATTAAAGTAAATTCACTGATCTGTAGCCGGGGCCGCAAAAACGCTAAAAAATTGGAATATACATACATAGAATATCAAACCACTATGGTATCAAATTTCCATTTTTTTGAGCAAATTACTCTCAATCGTAGATTGCATATAAACTATAAACTTATAAAATAAAAAAATACTAGGTGCATGTATCAAAAAGAGTAAGTTATAAATTCCAAAGAAATGTTAGATATAAATCCAAACGATTGACTTACCCACACACCAAATGAAGACCCTTCCATACCCTTTAACATTATGGCTTTGGATTTTTCTATCTTGACCGTACTCCAGCGGCACTCAAATCTTTCAGACAAATTATGTTCCAACATTATATCTGGTTTAGTACCTTCATTAACAGGTGTTCCAACCCACCCGATAAGAGCCATCAATTGGCATCCGTTACATACTCCTAAACTGAACGTGTCTCTTCTGGCAAAGAATTTGTCGAACTGTTCTCGGACGGTTTTGTTGAATAGAATACTAGCCGCCCAACCTTTAGCAGAACCCAAGACATCTGAAAAAAATATATATTTTATGTGCTATTCCATTTCTACTATAATACAAGAAAACCTTACAGGAATAAAAATTAATGTAGAACATATTTCTAATAAATATATTCAGATGGCACTGTCCTAAGATACAGTAAGTATCAGTAAGATACAGTAGTTTCACAGTAAGTCTTAAACCGACTTAATGATGCTTGTCGGAAGCTTGGAATGAAGATTAAAATACCAAGATAAGGGTAATTCAAAAGATTATCTAAAATAACTTTTCAAGGTGCGTGGTCAACTCTGCAATGCACATATCGACATCAAGCTTAGATCGAAACTTGTAAAATGTTTTTTTAACGAGGTATTAAAAGGAAAAAATTGTCTTGGATGAGTAATATTACGAAACTTGATAGGACTAGGCTTTGAAAAACTTCTACTGGCGTGAAGCTGAAGGCAGATAAATGTTTGCTACCATAACCGCTAACCTCCAATGATGGAGACGGCACATGGAGAAGAAGAAAAAGATATAATACATGTTCACGCCATCATATGTTTTAAGTCGATTTTCCGAAGCGGCAACGTAGCAGTGTTTGCGTAAGACACAAGAATCTAGGCCGGCGGATAGCGAGCAAAACAATACTTATTAGCGGTCATATATTCATATATTGTGTGACTTCAAATTAAATAAAGTCTTTTTCACGCGGAGTTTGACTATTTACCAGCGGCACATTCGAAGTGCAAATCAGACAAAGTCAATTTGAAGTCAACTACATAGTATGTTTAGTAAAGTCGAATAATTTTTAGGTGCAAATATACAAATATAACTAATAATGATCAGAATACTTTTGGTCTAACAAAAATTCTCTTAAGAGATTGTTCTAGAAGATATTAAAATTATCTCAACTGTACTGCAGTTAGACTGCAACTGTACACGTGAAATGAGATCAAGCAAAAACCTATACTTACGATGATTTTATATATACTACCATAATATCAAGTTAAACTATTTACATGTTTTATCGGTATTTTTTTTTATGCTAAAATATACATGAATATACTAGACGCAGCAAAGAAAAAACAAAACTGACCTGCAGAAAAAAAGGGAATACTGGGAAAAGAAGTTACAAATTTGTACCAAGAAGTCAAAGTGAATAAAGATAAGGGACCCAGAATCAGAGATTAACAATTTTTACCAAGAAGTCAAAGTCAATATAGCTACGGGTCACTGAATCGCATGCTTCTTCAGAAGTAAAGAAGGCACACTAATAATGTGCATAAAACTTAAATAGGAAAAAAAGTAACTAAAGGAAGTAAAGCTGTAATTTAGTTTAATCTGTGTAAAATACACAGAAATTGGAACGATAGGAAATAAAGATATTACGCAAGATATATGGAGGAACAAAGGACAATGACGGCGTATGAAGAAGAATAAATAAAAAAGTAATGTAGCTCTACAACCAACCAAAATGCAAAAAGTAAAAGCACAAAGATCACGTTGGATGGGGCATGTTTATTAGATGTCCATAAACAGACATGCAAACAAAGTATAAGCAGGATGAGTGGGTTGAAAGTGTAGACCAGGAAGACCAAAAAAGAAGTGGTTAGAAGAGGTTAAAACCGATAAAAGAAAACTAAGATTACCGGACAGGGTGAAACAGATGAAAATCAGAGATAAGTGGAAAAATAGTGAAGAAAATAATAGCCATGGACCTCCAGTACTGAAGAGCGGTTATATATTATATTGCTACTTTTTTTAAAAGAACTGTAATGTGATCAAAAAAGGACTTTTGTAGCCTGACTTTTTACATTCTTTTTGTCGACAAGGAAACTAAGTTCCTGTAGCTCGCTGTATACCATGTATCACAAAAACTTTATTTAAAAACTTTTTTATAAAATTTTTATATATTAAAACACCCTAACAGGCTACACCACAGAACGTTATGAATTCCGAAAATACACCCAATAGGGTGTTTTAATATATGTATACCTTTTATAAAGGAATTTTTAAATAAATTCTTTTTATGTTATGAAAATAAATTTTATAAAAATATCGTACACAGGTTTTACAAAATATTTAATAACAGATGCTGCATGGGCCATCCAAGAAAAACTTCACTTCCGTATTGGTGTGCAGCCGAAACAGATCGAACAGCTCGGATTTAGACACCGGTATCCAAACAAGTAATCTTGATACTGACAATCTAAGTTCTGAAGTACGGTAATACAAGAATAGACAGCGTGGAGAGTACCTTCTGTACACAGGTAATTTGTAATCCATAAATAGTGGTAAGTATTGGTAAGAGAGGTAGCAAGTATTTACATCAATGGGAGGACGTGTCTTAATTAACCGGCAAAGGGGATAGTAACCAAAAGCACTCTCAAACAGCGTAATTCATGATATATTAGTTCAAAATAATAAAACATTATTAGTACCTGCATAACTGAAACCTCCAGGGAATATCACTCCCCTAAACCTATCCAAAGTGGCCACACCGCTCAGTAGATCTTGCATGGTGATATCCCACACTTTGAACCCGGCTCTTATCAACGCTGCAGCCATTTCCCTATCTCCATTTGTTCCTTCTTCTCTTATCACAGCCACAGGAACCAATTCGTCCTTTACAGTCTGATCGTGATCAGGGTCGAACGTCAGTACGTATTTGGGTCCAGTTCGGCTTGGAAGACCATGGAATTCCGAATCGGCACAGGATTTGATAGTCTGATGTAATTCTAACCTAAACAAAAATAATTTTACTTTCTAGGTTTCTAAAATAGCTTTTAGAGATGTTATTCTCAAAACAGCAAAATAACTCATAAAATGTAGTGGAAATAAAGGATGTTGACAGGTAATAAGTTGACGTTATGTCAGTGTAAGATAGTAGTGTTTACATTTTCTTTATATCCCTCAAGAATAGATTCATAATGAGCTCTGTTGTAAGGTAAGGGCGTTGATGAATAAGGTTTTTTTAATGTTAAGTAGCTAAGGGAGAATAAAACATCTTTACCGCAGGAAACCCCAGTTTATTCTCTAATCTCTAATTCTGTTATTTTCAAATATCCAAATGTGTTTTTGCTATCGTGGCATATTAATTTCTCTTGAATTTTTTGAATTTAAAACTTTTGGCGAGACTGTATTTTCAGTTAACTCTGTCTAGAAATTATTATTTTTATCGCTTCAAATACGTCAACTGTGTGTACTTAGAGAGTTTTCTTAATAAATTAGTTCTGGGTATGAAAAAACCACTTTAAATATAATCCAAGCACCTAAGAAATATGTTTCTCATGAAAAAGTTACAAAAATAGTCGTACGACTCGATTTCACTCAGTCCGTTTTTAATTTCCGAGGAATATGCATTTGACATAATAAATATCAGTGCAGCAGTCAACAAAGTCAGAATAATTGAAATGAGGTTGAATGCTCGAATAAATGAACTTTGAAAATAAGGCTATTATCGAGCACAAGTTAATTAAATCTAGCCCAAGTACTTTCGCTTAAAATAGCATCTTCAGGTGCATTTCGTCAAAATGTAAACTATCCGGCAAGCGTAGAATGTGGAAACATTAAAAATGACATAAAATTGTACAATACACTACACTAAAACGAGGACAAACAGTTTAAAATTACTTAAAGATTCTACGCTACATTATCTGTCAGTATCTGGAGGGATAATCATTATCCTTCCCATACCCTTGAGTATGTTCCCATACCCTTCTCCAGAATAGCCATGTTAGTCTCCACCATCCGTAACGGATAGGCATCATCAGAAGAAGATAAATATCTCTCGTGTTTGAAGTTGTGGTGAAATCTTCATGAAATGAGGTAAGCTAAATATTTATTCTTTGTTAATTTATCGTTAATAAATTAGATATATTATAGGGTTTGACAAACCACTACTTTTTATCAATGTCAAGGCCAACCGCCTTTATCAATATTTTTGCCGAATAGGGCAAAATTACCTTTTTTCTTTTATCGTCTACATCTCGATTATCGACGAATTATGAAGAAATTTTTAAGAGCACCAACATTCGGCACTGAACGTCTCAGATGAATTCCGTTTCTGCCTAACTGGATCCGATGGACGTGTAAAGGTTTTGAGGAGAACCGGTAACCGATTTTCACAAGCTTGCATTGCTCCAAGAATGCCCTTTGATGGATGCTCAGTCATGGCTTCCGACTTCCGCACAGAATTACCCTTCATCGAAAATGGGTCCTTAATACACGAAGGTATATTACGGAGATTCTGGAAGAACATGTTATGCCCACCATGGGAGGGCTTGGAAAAGACGCCGTTTTTATGTAGGACAACGCGCGATTGTAAGTTGCGAGGATTAGTATGCAATACTTGTGACGAGGTTGAAATTACGAGGCTGGGGTTGTTAACCCGAGACAAGATGTCTCTATGGGTCCTCGATAGCAACTAACAGTTGTATAACTGGTCATTCCACTATATATACATATACCTTCTATAAAGGATTTTTTTAAATAAAAGTTTTTATGAAATAATAGATAACATCAACGTTTTTTTAATTATAATCAAATTAAACTCTTACCTATAACTAGTCTCTTCCCAAAGCTTCATCAATGGTAAAATTGTACTTTCTAGGCAAGCATTGTTAGCTATGATTCCAAATTTAGATTTAATTCCGTATCCAACAGTCTTTCCTATTTTGAATACTGGCACGTTGTGATTCTAGAAGTGATTAAAACATACTTTTTATTATTAAGGTTATTCATGTACATATTCGTATTTGTTTTATTTTAATATCGTTTATATTCTATACAATTTAGATGTGATAAGCTTTAGTGTAAACGCAAGTATGCTAAATAGTAGAAACTAGTCTAATAAGGACAACGTCGAATCAAAATAAAAAAAATGGAATTCGTTGTTACAATTATTCATAAAACAACACAAACTGACCCGGCACTTTTCTTATGTATATGTGGTTTTAGTTTAATTGGCTGCAACTTTGCAGAGAGGTAGATTTGTTAATGTTGATTAATAGTTTTGCTCCACGACTCAAAAATCAATTGTTTTCAAGTTACAGAGTTTCAGTGTCGGTTTTTAGTTCGCCAATATATCCCAAGGCGGAACCTTGTTATCTCGGTAGGATATTCCACTGATTCATGGAGAAAGTCCCACTAATAACGGGGCAGTGCTACAAGGATATGCCACTTTCCTACATAGACTAGCTGATTTTGTGTGAGATATATGCGCAGAAGCTTTCAAAATATTGCCAATATAAGCTACATAAGTCACATAAGTTTACGCCAAATTGTGCTTACAGTGTGCACTTGCACGGGAAGTACTGGAGGAACTGATATATATGAGGAAGCAGTCAGAGGATGTATACATGCGCAATAGATATCACTGAAACGTACAACTGCACAGAAGGTAATGTAGCGACTGGTACATGCGCAATAAGTATCAATTTAACGTATACCTGCGCAGAATGTACTATAAACGTTGCTACTGTTAATACTGTCTATCTGCCTATGTACTACGCCTTGGATGTCACAGCTCTTACTTCTTCTTTCTTCATTGCTTTTAAGGTCATATATAGAGTATATTCTGATATTGCCTTAATGTTTGCATTTCAGTGGTTCTAACCTTCTCTTGGTTGTTATGTTTTGCGATCTGGTCTCTATTGAGTAGGTCATGATCGGTCTTAATGCATGTCTTATAAATTCTTACTTTACTCCTTGTACTGGTGTATTTATTTCTTCAAAATATGTCTCTGAAATATATGCTGATATATGCTAATCTGATATTAGTGAAGCCTTTTGTTGTTGGGTCCTTAGTCTGTGTTTTAGATTTATATCACTAGTTATATTTACGACCAACCATTTGAATCCCATTCCTTTTTCTACGTTCTGATTGTATTGAGATTGCGAATTTAATCTTTTGGGTTCTCTAGATACTGTAAGGGTCTTTGTTTTCTTTACAGATATTTGCATGTTGAATTTGTTTGCTGTTGGCTCGAACTCATACAGAAGTCTGTGTAAGTTATCCTCATCTTTTGAGATCATGACTGCATCATTTGGATAGTATTTTTATTTCTTTATTACCCATTCTGTATCCTTTCCAAGATTGTTTTACCTCATTTATAATTTCATCCATTATGATATAAAATAATACAAGGCGTAGACCCTATTCCGGTTATCATTGGCATTATATTACTTAACTTGTTTGCCACTGTTACGTATGTGCAGTTCTCAGTGCTCAGTTCTTCAACTACTTTATTTATTTTAGAATGAATGTTAATCTATTGTAGGAGAGTTACTATATCAGTTAGTCTAACTTTATCGTAGGCCTTAGTTAAGTCCATAAAATACATGAAAGCTGCCTTGTTATTCTACTATTTGGCAGATTATAAATATTGCATCTATAGTCAATCTATTGTTTTTGGAACCTGGTTGTTCCTCATAGATTCCTGTTGACATTACTTCCTTGGCTAAAATTATGGTGAAAGTTTTAGTACCGCATTCATCTAATAATAAACTCCGTGGTTTCAATCAATATACTTTCTTTCCATTCATATTGTATTTTTTTCACTTCAATTATTGAAGATATTCAGTTCTTTTAATATTGTATCACTCCCATATCTCCTTCGTTACTTCCTCAATGTCTGGTGCCTTTATGTTCGTTATTTGCCATTTGCTTTACTTTGATAAAAAGGTAAAAAGGCCAGGTGTGTTTTCTGTTTTCGTATTATTTTCCGTTGCATTTCATTTCATATTCTTGAAACACTTTTCCTATTTTTTGATGTGATTCTTGTGTGATGTATGTACTCAAGAAACATTCATAGAAAGCTTAAACTCTAACAAGAAGAATTACGTTAGACTCAAAATACAAGCTTTGGGGATATTGCCTTGTAGATAGATGTTAAGAGAGATGTCAAGGACATAATATAGAACTAATGTATTTATTCCTAATCAATCAAATATAAGAATGAGTGAACACTAAGCTAGACAGATGTAAAATGGTTCTTCTGGTCGAAGAACTTCGATTACTATCACACTACACCTATTTACTTGTTTAGAGAAGTAAAGTGTTTCTAACGCCTCACGTCATAACGAACTTTAGTCATTTGCCGTCAATACATATTTGGTAATAATAAATAGTATTAAGAAAGAAAAAATTAAAAAGTTTTACCGAAAACACATTCAGGCAGTGAGCAACATCCTCATCCAAAACTTCCAGTACCCATCCAACTTCTTCGGCAAACAAAATATTGAGTGGTTTGCCCTGTCTGTGTTGAACATCAACTTCCATACCACACAATCCTGCGAAGCACATTTCTAATAGGCATACGATTAAGCCTCCGTCGCTGATGTCGTGTCCTGCCAAGATTGAATCTAAAAAAGAAATTATAAAGTGTATCTATTAAGTCTTGGTATTTGAATTCACTAAATGTATATTCCATATTTTATATTATACTTATAACAACAAATATGATTTCTATAACATATGCGCGACGCTTCGCTAAAACAGGGACTAGAGGTAAAATAAACCAAGGCCAATAAAATATCTCAAGAAATTATCGAGGAAGCTGTTTTACAGCCTAGTATAATCATTCATTTCCTAGTATAATCATTCATTTCCAATAAAATATCTAAACTTTTTACTTCTACAATTGAAAACATCAAAATTTCTTTCAAGACACACGACACTTTAGGTTCCTTTTTAATCAATACCAAAGATAGGATAAACACACTTGACAAAAGTGATATTTATAAATTAAAGGGTGATGATACTAGAATTTCAGAACATTTGAAAAGACCAAACTCTTCAAGTTTCGGCCAACACTTATTATCCAGTAAACACAATTTTAACATCAATACTGGTTGTTCTATTTTACATGACATTAGTAGAAAGAAAAACTATTTGGAGTTGGATTTATTGGAAGATTTGGAGATTACAAGGGAAACAAATGGTACTCTCACTGTCTTAATACTCAAATTAATTTAAATGTACTAAATTTAAACCTATTTTTAAAAACTTTATTGCAGAGCTTTACCTCGTAGGGGACCCAGCTCGGCTGTTTAGACTTCCTACACTGAGTATAACCATTAAGAATTTATTAATTTCGTACTTTGATCAACATTACTGTTTTATTCTTCAATAATTTACAAAACTAGCTTGCTAGAGTAACGCTTTTACATATTAATTTTATATTTCTCCCATTGACTGGGTCCCCATTAATTGAACTACTTTGATTATACCCCATTTATACACTGCTTTAAATTTTGATTGTTAATTTTTAGTATTTTAATTTCATAGTCAGATTTCTTCTGTTCTACACAATTGATAGTGCCTGGTAGACCCTTTTATTGTAGTCAACCAACCACTGTCTAATAGATTGTTTAGTCTATTTCTTGCATCCATACTTTACATCCACTTCAGTTGCTCTCAAACTAACACCCTAATTATTATACACAGGTTTGAGTGTGAGATCTGGATTATCCAATCTACTTAAAATATTCTATATAATTTCATATAGCAGTGTCAGTTGGACCTTTGGTCAATGCTTAGTTACATAGAATTTTGAAATGTGCACATCACATCTCCATGATTGTGACTACTCATCCAAGCTGTCATATGTCACATGTCACCTTAACATTTCCGTTAAAAACGGGAGCCATTCTCTCTCCTGTTGCCGACCATAATGTAGCTTCGCATATTTTAAAACAATTTAAACTGTTTGTCCTTGTGTAGTGTAGTGTAATGTACAATTTTATGTTTATGACATTCTATGATTGTTGGATCGGCCAAAATTGACGAAGTAAGTCTAAAACGTTATTCACATAAAAACTTTTATCAACCATTAACTTCGAGTTTTTTATCGAAGTTAATTAATTTCTTCAGCTAAAAAAACGTTTCTTGGCTTATTTCAGATGCCCCTGAAGATGCTCTAGGAAGCGAAAATACTTGGGCAAGATTTAATTAATAAAACTGTGTTCAATATTTGCCTTTCATTTGATCAAAGTTCATTTATTTGAGCATTCAACCTTATGTCAATCCATTCAACTATCTCCTGATGAAGGCGTGTTTAAATGTGCTGAGGAAAGTTCAACTTTTATTCAAGTAATATCTGCTGCCTACCAAGTGACTCCAAAAATATATGGTATCCAACCAATAGATCCGTACAGGCTGGTACAGAGTTCCAGAATTCTGGAATGGAAGTTTTACAGCAGACGCAATAAAACGAAGTGAAGTTGAGATTAACAGCTGAGAAACAGGCTAAGGAAAAATTTGGAAATCCATAAAAAAGCAGGTAAATATGTTTTGGTATCCGCATTGTTCTTGGTGTAACGGTGAAAATAGTATTGATTTTAGTCTTTCATTATGGTGGGGAGTACTTTGCTCGGCATAGTAATGCTACAGTACGATAATTGTTGCCGTCTGTCGGTGAACCTTGTTTATACATGGGAATAAAATTGAGTTAACTCCAGTCATTTGGCGACGTTTCGGAGGTCCAGATTTTATTATAAATTATAAGCATTACTTCAATCCCTACCTCTCCCATTTGTTTAAGTATCTCAGCTGTTATTCCATCTTCCTCTTCTGTCCTCAATTTTTGATTCCAGTATTTGTGGTTCTTTTTCATAACTTTTTTCCTCTGCATTATAGTCTAGTTTCCTTCTGTGTTTGTTGTTTGTGTCTGTGGTTTGACCTCTCTCGCTAGATATGTATTTAATTTTTGTCAAAATACATCAGTTTGAAAAATCTTTAGAAATTCTGGTTCGGATGTACCCCACTTTAGTGGCAAGTTTTTAAACATTGTTTATGGCATTCTAATAAATTTATATGTATTTGACTCCTGGCTTGATTCAAGATTTTGATAAAATGGTTGCATTATACAGCAATCTAGGGTTTGAGGATTTATACATAATTTTTAACCTGTTCAAATTAAATAAATTTGTTTTTATCTCTTATATATTGTAATAATTGTTCATAAGATTGTACTTACCATCTTTTATTAACTGTTGTGTTGCATTAAATGCGTTTACTAATTCTTCAGCGCTATGAAGATCAGGAGATTCTTCTCCAAGTTGACCAAATGCTTGAGCTAAAGCCGAACCCCCAAGTCTACTATCACCTCGGGAAAGATCTACGAACAGAATTGTTCCTGTTTTTCCCATAGAAGGTGCTTTGAAATCTAAAAAAATATTTCTAGTTGAAATATGTATACCATAATGAATAAAATTTAGTTTTTTTCGGATGATTCCAAAATAAAAACTTACCAGGGGTAACAACTTTTCGAATATCAGGACAGGGAGCATAAGTAGAAACTACTAAGGTTCCTGGAGCTTTGACAGTATCTTTTCCAACTCTAGCTGCCATACTCAAAGAATCCTTTCCACCATCGATAGCGATTCCTAACTCGCTCATAACGTCGCACATAGCTTTGCATGCATCATAAAGAGCTGCCCCTTCGCCAGGGAGCTTGGCAGCCCACATCCAGTTACCACTGCATTTGACGTCGCGTAAACTGGTAATACCGGCGAACACGAGATTGCTTAGAGCTTCAACTACTGTCATTCTAGCACCGGCTGCAGTGTTCACCAAACCTTTGATAGGTTGCTCTCCAATAGATGACGCTATACCCTCCTGTAATTGGAACAAAACTTTTAAATAATTTCTAAAGAAAACACAGAAATTATTGCTTTAGAAAATTATCAAGATTTCCGAAACTATTTGTATGGTCTTCAGATTCTTAAACATGGCTTAATCGATTAATTGGCACTCTCTATTTTAGACTTAACGTACAGGTATATTTGGTCAAGGAACGTCTGATAGAGATATACAGGGCAGAACATAGAATGTATAAAAAATATTTTTACTCTTTGATTAACTAACACAAAAACAAACTAAAGCACTTACGTGTCCAAAATGAGAAAGCGCTGTAACAGCAACATCAGCTAAAGGTGTGTGTAGTGGTCCCACACATTGCTGCTGAGCTATCAAACCTGTAACACACCGATCTACTTTGTTGGTTAAGTACCGCTTGCTGCCAACAGATGGCAACCTTAATACTCGCAGCAGAGATTGGTAGATCGAAAGGGCTTTTGGGAACTCGATTGGTTTACTGGCTACTTTATGTCTGTTTAACTTAAAGACTTTCTGGGGCATCTTTCCTGAAACAAACAAATTGAAAGTATGTAAGATGGTTAGAGGTAAAATACTTTTTGATTGAGTAGATGTTGCTCTCTGTGCTTAAACAATTTAATATACAATTAAAATCAAATATAGTTTTTACCACAACTTATAAACATATCAGAAAAATTCAAATAGGGATAAATATAAATCGCATCAAAAATTATATAAAAAACGACACTGACACGGTTATATTTTTATAGTATACATAGTTTCAAAATTGTAATTTTTTTATATCAGCAATCACAAGAGTGTTCAAAAATATTTAAACAATGTGAAGGAACATTTGTAATATAAGTCTTACAAGCATTGCAAAAGTGGGAAAAACGCATTCAGTTTGATGATTTTGCAAAATATGCTCCTGTGCTCTGTATAACAAACGGCATAGACTATTGAAAGACTATGGTGAAATAAATTGTAATGATTTTATCCATTAGACATTATCCATTTATCGAAGAATATAAAAGTAAATCTTTCGAAGATCTTTTTGGGAGGACTATTCTTTCGGAAGTAAAGAGGTTCTTCATTACGACGAACAAAGTTACCATCAATTAATCGTTAATTGTCTTTATACTAAATCGTCTAACAAAAACAATATTTACAAATTTAAAGTTCATGCTTCTAAAAGTCTACGAAATATTTCAGAAAACCTACTACTATAATTTTGGAGTACAAGACACAATACTGTTATATTTATGTAGGAAGTTCAATAGTTCACATGTAGGAACAATCAATACGGCAAAGCCACGAAAGGCTTCAGGTCTAGATGAGATCTATGTAGAGATGATAAAACTTATCAATGAAGAAAATCTTCAGTCCTTAACGCTACTATTTAACAAAATATATATCACTGGCATCTTCCCAGAAGAGTGGCTTAGATCGACATTTATACCTATACCCAAGAAAAATAAAGCAAATAGATGCTCACAGTTCAGATTAATTAGCCTGGTGAGCCATTTTCTGAAAATTTTACTCAAAATTGTATATCAATGTGTATACAGAGAATGCGAAAGAAATCTGAGCGACAATTAATTTGTATTTTGTATGGGACTTGGTACGAGAGAGTAAAACACACAGAACTCATAGAAATTCTAACACAACATGGTATAGACCATAACACGGTGGCCCTTATTAAAAACCTTTACTGGGATCAAATGGTGTCGATTAAAATAGACAATCGTATCACAGCAGAAATGTCAATAAAAAGAGGAGTTCGCCAGGTCTGTGTACTTTCTCCACTATTGTTTAATATATATTCCGAAAAGATCTTCCAAACTGCCCTCGAAAATATTGAAGAAGGAATAAAAATCAAAGGAGAATATGTAAACAACTTAAGATACGCAGAAGATACCGTCATTATTGCGGACAGTGCTGAGGGTTTGCAAGGGCTTTTGAATGCCATAACCAAAGAGGGAAATAGCTTGGGGCTGAATGTAAACACAAATAAAACAAAAATAATGAAAAAATCCCAGTATCTTGGTTGCTGGATACGAAACGATCTTGACCACGAAGTTGAAATACGTGCTAGTATATAGTATGGTAGGTTCGCTTTTCAAAGAATGAAAAAATTCCTAATAAGCTCTTACTTATCGTTGAATATCCTATACCAATTTGTAAAAACATTCATTTATTCCATATTGCTATACGGAGTGGAAACATGAACTCTCGGAATCACAACTATGAGACGTGTAGAAGCCTTTGAGATGTGGGTTTTTTGAAGGATGCTGATCTGTTGGACAGAGCACGTGACCAACAACGAGGTGCTGAGAAGAATGGGACAGAGAAAACTCCTAAATAAAACCAGAAAAATGAGTTATTTAGGACATACTTACAGATGAGAAAAATACAACTTCCTACGACTGATAATGGAAGTGAAAGTGGAAAGAAGAAGAGGACCAGGAAGAAGAAAATGCTCCTGGCTAAAAAATGCAAGATACTGGACAGGCATGGACACACATTCGATACTAAGAACAGCTCAAGATAGAAAACAATTTGCTGTAGTTATAGCCAACCTTCAGTAATGGAGAGGGCACCTTAAGCAGAAGAATAATTTTGGAAATATGCAAATCCCAAAGAAAGAAATTTATGCAGGAATCAAAATGTTTGTATATCGATGTTTCTTAAATTCTTCAGTTGCTATTCTCAAAAAATATCTCAAAAGTTAATGATAAGTGAACGATGTGCAAAATCCAATATTTAGAAATAGCATTGAATCTACTGGTAATCAAGACAATGAAATTAACACTTCAAAGATGTTTTACCCCCACCTAACAATTTACAAATAAAAGTAGAATCAGTTGTTATTATGCTGCGTAACATTAATAAAATTCTACTGTGCAATTAAATGAGACTGACTGTGAAAAGGCTAATGAATAATGTCATTGCGACAACGATCATCAAGGAAAAATACAAAGGAGAGGATGTCTTGATCCCGCGTATACTGATGATTTCAACGAACGTACCATTTGGTTTTAAACATTTATAATTTCCCGTGCTTTTGGCTTCTGCAATGACAATAAACAAATCACGAAGCCAACCGTTGGAAGTTTGAGGAATTAACTTAGAGATTCCATGTTTCAAGCATGGGCAATTATTCAGAAAACCGTTATCGTTGTATATTTATTTAACGCAAAAAAATAAATATATTTTTATTAGAAAGCATTAAATTGATTAAACTTTTTTCATGCATAATATGGTGTTGAATGTTTGTTTTATTTTCTGTTAATTTTTTAGACACATTATTTAATTCTAACGCAGTACAAAGTTTGCCTGTTCAGCTAGTATAATATTCTTACCTAATACATGTTCCAATTCCAAATTAAATGGTGTAACAGCCTTGCTTTCGTCTAAAGCCAGAACTACTCTTCCTGTGCCAGTTACTTCACCTACAACGTTTACAGGACATCTTTCTCTTGCACAAATACTCTTTAGAAGAGGCAGATCTTCTTTTTTACATAACAACGCATTATTTTCTTGATATTCGGCTCCCCACAACTCCAGAACGTTTATTGTCGGATCACCCAACTCAAATTTATTGGCGTATATGATTCCTCCTATCGGCTCTACTAATTCTTTCAAAACATTTCCATTTCCTCCAGCTCCTTGGTCATGAATACTGACGATAGGGTTTTTGGAACCTAGTTCTAAGCAAGCACGTACGACTCTGTTCAGTTTGTTTTCCATTTCAGCGTCACCTAAAAATATAAAAACGTTATTACAGAGAATTTAATTTAACAACTAAGTTTTAATGCGGATCACCATAACTTTTGATTTCAGTAACAAAAGATCTTTTAGATCAGATTATAGAAAGGTTTATGACCAAACGACTACTTTATCTATAATCTGCAAAACTGAGAAAAATTAAATAAACACAATAAAAGTGAAACTTTGAAATAGTGCATAAAATAGATAAACAACCAGGACATATCAAAGGAGCAATATTAATTTTAAAATGAATTATGACCTGCAATATACAGTTTGTCAAAACTAGGAACGACTTTAAAATCTAACAATCGTCACGACTACTTGGATGCGCAGCAAATTTAGCGGAAATATATGAGTACAAGTAAACAACTAGGCCTTTAAACTTGGGTCGATACAGTCTGCGACAGAGTTTTCTTGAAGAACAGTGACGTGACGTGAAATGGAATTTATATCAAAATTGATTCAAAAAGTTTTTCCGGACAAAGCCGAGAAATTATAGCGAATGTTATGCAATTTATGCAACAAGAAGCAAGTTACAACCAACGTACCTCTAATAGACTTAAAACAAGTGCAGATGGGTGTTGCAGCAGCAACAGGGGCAGGGGCAACTTCAATGAGAGATTACATGTTCTGATTTCAAAAGGTTAAATACTGACAATAGTGAATGTAGGAGGAGAAAACGGTTTTGTAAAGAATGCTTGTTTGAAATTTACATCAAATACAAATCAGCGGACTACCACAATGAAATTATGAAAAAAGTGAAAATATGAAAATGATAAAAATTGGTTTTAGGAAATGTTTATTCCCAATGTTCCTCCTCATAGTGTACTAGTTGTTGGCAACTCTTCTTATTACAACGCGCAAGTTGGAAAATCTAATATGAGTTTAACGAAAAATGTAATGAAAGACTGGCTAATAAAACGAAATCTACCTTTTTGAGAAGATATGTTAAAAGTCGATTTTTACAGCACTGTACAAAGCCATAAACCAAGATTTAATGTGTATGAAATTGACAGAATACTGAGTAATAGTGGTCATCCGGTGTTAAGGCTGCATTCCTATCATCCGGAACATAGAATCTGTTAAAGAATTTCTTAAGAAATTGGTGGCTGAGAAAAACGCTGACTTAAATTTAGTTCTGTGGATCGTTTTTCGATGAATTTTTTGAAACGTTTTCAAATGAGGAGTGGAAAAAACTATGTGAAGAAACTAAACCTTTCGAAGAGTTTTTTTATGGAAAAGAAACCAGTTGTAGATTTATGTTTTTGATGAAATAATAATTAACTTCAGGAAAATAGTCATGGTGACTTCAGTGATGATAATTCCGAGTATGATAGTGATTTTTCATGAATTGAGCCTCTGTAAACATTTTACTCTTCTTAATTATTATTTAAAATTTCAAAAGCTCAAAGAGCCATGGAAAGGCAAATGCTGAACATCAAGCAAGAAAAGAAATACTTGGGTCCGCAACAAAACAAAAGTGACCGATGTATCAACGCACATAGCAAAACTTAAGTGGAAGTTCGCTGGACTACCATAAGACAGAACGACGACATATGTAATGAGATGATTATACACTGGAGACCATATAGTTACAAACGAAAGAGAGGAAGGCCACAAATGAGATGGTCAGATGACATGAAGAAACACGCAGGCCCGAAGTGGATACAAACTGCCTACAATAGAGAGACGTGGAAAAAGGAAGAGGAGGCCTATGTCCAAAATTGGACAGTGAGGGCTGTATAGATAATTATTATTTATAAGTTTTCGGATGTTCTATCCATTCCTGAGAGTCTATGCGCTTTTTTATATATTTTTTTGCTTTGACATCCATCAGTAAAATAATACTAATAGTAGCCATATGTATTTTTTATAAAACTCATTAAAATTTAACCGTTATTATTACCTTTTATATTTTTTTGTTTATATTTTGTAATAAAATTATTTACTTTATTTATAATTTGATATTGGTATGACGTAATGAAAAAAATTCCTACCTTCCTGTATCACTTAGAATTAAAATGACATTAAATGAAATAGGAAAATAGACCAAATTAAACTTTTGTTACTAAGTCGAGCATATGCGTCTTCCACTCTGTCTCTCTAAATACTTTCCCGAACAGTCAAGATTTTGAAAGTCGTTCCTATATTTGACGAGTAATACAAGAAAATATAAAATATTGTAAAATTTATAGAAATATGTGAATGAACAATAAGAGAACAATAAAAAATATTAGAATGAAGAATAAGTATAATTATTTTATTTACTGTAAAAATGTTATCACTTAATTCAAAATATCTCTAATCTTTGGACTAGGTTAAATTAAATTCAAACAATTTTAATATTTTCCTGTTTTTAAAATGAATGTAGTTATTACCTCTTTGTACAGCATTAAAGTCTAATTCTACTTTGTTGTCCCCTTGTACCTCGACTGAACTAGCAGATCCTCCTCCTACTCCAATTCTGTAAACAGGTCCTCCAATTTTTATGATTTGGTGTCCTAATTTAGGTTGTAGCTTCTCAGTCATATCTGCTTCCATGCTCCCAATACCTAGAAAATATTGATATATGACTATAGTAAGACTAAAATCATAGCTTTCATTAGAGCTTTGCGTAAATATTTTATTTTTATTATTTATTATTTTTTAATATAATATGACCTTACTCAATCGATAACTTCATTTTTTTTTTATTTTAAATGTTTTTCGCGTCAAATTGACACTATGTTATAGAAGCAGGCAGAAACGCGAGCTCCTTGGCTATACATTATACTTAAACATTTGTGTAGTAAATCATAAAATTATCCCAAAACCTCTTGAACTTATCAAGAAACCCGAATATCCTTATATTAAAATGACGATCTTCCCGAGGACCTTGAGACGGAAGATAAAGTTATCAATAAGGTGGCAGGTAGTTACGAACAATAGCTCCAAACGCATATGAACATCGAGGCCATCCAGCTCCTCGATAATACTGAGTAAGAAATGAGACTCAAACGAAGAAAACCATTGTCTCTGTCTTATGAGGCTTGCATCAAGTTAGTGCTAACACGCTTCAGATCATCAGTCCATGTGGTTGGTGGGCGTCCTCTGCTCCATAGTGTTTCTTGTCTTGGTTTCCACATATTGCTGTGTTGTGTGGTACCTATAGTGCCTAGTTGTTAGATAAAATAAAAGGACACCATGGGGTTGGTGTCAATTAATCAACTGTGACTAGATTTCAGAGGTATAAACACAATTTATGTCTCTAATAAAAAAATCAAGAAGGCCGAAAGTGCTTTTGATTTTTATTACTGCAAGTACACGAGTCGAGAATACGTTTGCTTTTCGCCATAATTAGTAGGGTTGCCAGATATATACAGATAAACTTTATCAATACTGCGAAATAATTACTTTTTACACTCATTTACATTTACATTTTTAACAAGTCACAACAATTTCATCACCGGGTAATAAAATCTTCGGTCACATTTCTAAATGTAATGTCTATTTTCTGCAATTTGTGTAGCAAAAAAAAACTACGCAACAGGAAAAAAATCTCAACACATTTGGATTCAGCGCCAAAAAATACTCTAGAAAAACACTTTTGTTCTTTATACATCAAAAGCTTTGCACAAGGTGTTATCAATCAATTTTGTTTACTCATTGCACTGACAGAAATATAGAATGTTAAATTCTTTCGTAGTGCTGAAAATGTCAAATTTAGGCTTGTCGCAAGAAAGTATCCTTAGTCGACTATTTTATCTTATATATAAACAAGAATTGGACAATTTGGTCTTCGGTAAGCTGCAGATAATCAACTTAATTTTATCGAAGATTATTTCTGGCTTAGTTGCTAGGATGCTACGGGCACCTTAGCGTGAAAATTGTATCCCGGATAGGAGAAAAGTGAGAGAAATAACCTATTAGTTATACTAACGTCATCACATCATATTTAGATTATATCGCATTGTTGGATTGCTTATTATTATTATTATTATTGAGTAATTAAGTTAATGCTTTAAATGGCCAAATAGGTAAACAAAGACCAGAAAAGAAGTAAAAACAAAAGGAAATAGTGAGACACAATTCTGTTCGTTAGAATTCAAAGGGTGGAAGTCACTTTCTCTTTGTTTGCAGTAGATCAAAATTAGTGCTCTTAATTTGTACACCATAATTTAAATTGCCTTTTAAAATTTTCGAATGATATTGCAGCTTTATGTTTTTAAAGAAGTAAAGCATGCCTTATATTTTATTTCCCAGTAACATAATTGGATTTAAGTTGCTTTGGATTGAAATAATAAATAATTTAAGACTACAACCTTGTTTGTTCTGTGATACTATATTAATAAAAAACAGTTTATTAGAAAAAGAACCTTATAATCAGAACTTAACATTATAAAAATAGTATAAAACTTAAATTAAAAAGGAGTTAATCATCTTCGGAATATGACGAATTGTCTTCGTTAACGACAACTTTATTTTTTGTTGTTTTTAAATATTATAGGTTCCCAATTCTAGCAATTCCATTAGGTGGTTGACTATCAATTGGAATTGATTTTTTATTATTTATTTGGTCCAATATCTTTGGTAGGAGACCATCGAGAGAACTTCTCATTTTCCTTTTAAAATTGACAGTTTTAAAATTTTCCTGGGAAAATGTTGTTTTATAAAACATAATACTAAGGTGGTTTTTTTCGATTTTCAAGGCACAATTTTAGAGGATAGAAAGTGTTCATTGCCTGTGTTCCGTTTCCTATTAATAAGATAACTTAACCATTCTTTGCCCATTATTTCAAAGTTGAAAAAGTCACTTGTTTTCAGCTCATAAACAATAAGTGGTAGTAAAGAAGAAATGGGGTACAAAAATACTCATAGTAGGCAGTCTTGTCTTCTTCCTCTCAATCAGTGCAAGTATTGTGTCTGCTTCATTGTGTGTATACCCCTTGAGTAAATATTTATGATGAGTTCTAACTACTGATGTGTTATGGACACATATAAATACAAAACAATAAAAATTCAGTTTTGGCTAAAGAATTCAGTCTGACTAAAATGTTACCTCTTCTGTTGTAGAAGGTAAATTTTTTAACCACAGTATTACAGCGAAAGCTATCTCGTTGCCAACAATTTTTGCAATAGACTCGTCCCATATGTAAAATTAAATATCCATATCTGCTTTAAAACGATTTTTCATTTATTAACATAGGTGTGGGGAGGCATTTTTGCAAAACCATCATTGCTACGACTTTTTTTAAATTCTGCTTACATCTTATCTTATCCTGACTTTTCAACTTGTATCTGACTACTCCTTGAACAGTTTTATTAAAAATTAAGCTCTTGTTATTAAACATGGAAAAGTAGGTTAAACTTTGCAAGATATTACACTTCACAACAATTGTGTACCTACTTGTTACCCTGTTACTTTAAGTAATGTGTAGAAAGGGTAGGTACAAAATTAGATTTTTACAGTACACAGAAAAAGACCACTTACCTTTATTCTTGTCTTGTAAACAAACGCTAACAGGCGGTTGTCCATAGAGACTGTCTTTTTAAGAATCAGTGTGCCATGCAAAAAAGACTGACGTGCCACATAGAGCTCTTTGCAACAAATATCATAGTGAACATCCGACTTTTAGTAATATTACCTGGACAACCACCTATTAAGCACCGTTCGAAAGATAATACCTTTAAGTGTATTATTGGCTGCATACCTCCATTTACTGTGAAAATGGACTTCCGCCCTTTAAATTCTAACAAACAGAATTGTGAAAAGCGATAAACAGGCCAACAAATGAGGACAAAAAATAACCTACCTTTTAATTTACCTTACATTATAATTTGAAGAATATGGTACTTATCGTTTCTCATCACATGATCAAAATATATCTACCAATTTTCTACGATTAGTTCTCTATTAAAACTAAACAAAATCTTAATTGGAAAATACATAAACATCAACAATAACTTACCTCCACTAAACATGATAGGTTTAATCCACTCTTTTCTCTCTCCAGCTGCATCAACAAGACCAAACGATCTTACAAAGCCTGAAATCAAGGGTTCACCGAACTTATTACCATAATCTGATGCTCCGTTACTTGCTTCAACCAGAACTTCTAAAGGTGGAGCAAAGTTTGGTGGATAAGAGAAGTTTTTGTCTTCCCATGGTAAATCGTAATCTAAAACCCAAAATCAGGATGTAATATTATTAATAAATACAATTAACTTTTTCATTCTTAGTCTACGTTTTAGAAAGATGATTTTTCTGTAGTAAAAATTTAGATATTTTTATACAAAAGTATTCAATATGAAGACTTCATATAAATATACTCCTCCAAAAAAGTATAGCATCACTTATAAAATTACAAATATTTCTGACAGCATTTGGTTAATTTAAATACAGCTTACTGTTTAAGAAAAAAAATGCTAATTGCTATTTTGTCTGGTTTTTATATTATCAGGCTTTATTTTACTTTTGTAAAAAGTATACAGTTTGCGTTTAATTTAAAATTAAATATTGAGTATGGAAGGTCGTGACAATATAAATTTAAATTTAATGAGAGATCAAGAGGTTAGAAAAATTTCCCTCATTGAAGACGGAAGGAGTCTTTACTGAAAAAGATATGTGGCAAATTTGGTAGGTGTAATTCATGTCGACGACGAGTATTCTGAAAAAACTTCACAAAAACGAAATAAAAATGCTCATAGGAGACTTAAATGCCAAAGTGGGAAAGGGTAGATGTGGAGAAACTGTAGGACCCTTTGGACTGGGGGAGCGAAACGAACGCGGAAATCGCCTTCGCTGTGGAAGAACAACTGGTAATCACCAACACTTTAGAAGTCTATTATGCCAGGCAGTCCTATCCATTGCCAACCGTTGCCAGTTTGCTGCGCCTATCTTTCTACCATCCTCATCTACACCATCCTTCCATCTGAGTTTTGGCCTACCCCTCTTTCTGCTTCCCACGGGTTGTGACATAAGAATTCTTCTAGGAGGGTTGTTCTGCTGTGATTTCCTTGTGCACAAAATGCAATTTTCATTTTATCACCATAAATTTTGTTCACAAACTGTTCTGGCACTTTCACGAATCAAATGCAAAAAGGCGCATAGAGATTCATCTTGCTGAGGAAACTTTGTAGGTTTAGTGCTTCGTTTACTCGCAAATTAATAGACTTTAAAATGCATTGAAGTGATAGGCAAATTGTCAAATTATTTACTAATTTTATTATTACTTACTTACACAGTTACAATTTATTAGTATATTAAACAGATTGTAGAAAGATATTAACTAACCATCTGAAGGACTAACCTAACCATCTAACTGCAGAATTTACACAAAGTGAGACAAATACATATATAATCAAAAACAATTTCTTCTTGGTGGTTAATGAGTTTAAAGTATTTTACTTTTACGTTTGCCCATTATTTTTCTTAAGTGAGATTCATAATTTAATTATTTTTATTTGATTTAGGGGATCTTATTTGATATTTACAAATTTTTACATGTTTGAAATTTAGATTTAGGTTGAGTTCGCAGGAAATTAACTATGCAATTGGTATAAAGTCAAACATTTAATTTATTTCTTATGTAACGATTTCATTTCACATTCAAATGTCATTTTTATTACAAAATATTATAAATATGCTATTTCTTTCATATCTTGCAAGAGTCATTACGTATAATACCAGAAAAATATTTTTGATTACTGTTCACACTTTTTGATATTACATGTACGGCACAATGTTACGAAAATAAGTGATTTCATCACACCCCCAACGTAGTAACAACTTTTGATAGTAGTAGCCAATGTGTCAATCTAAAATTTCCATTTATTTATCAACTTCTTATCTCACTTGCTAAATATAGTCCAGAGGTTATTACTTTTCAAAATCAATCGCTTGTTTTCTTATAGCAGATAAGTTAGTAAGGTAATCTATTGATAAATATTAATCAAAGTTGCATAATTAAATTCACCAAGCAAAAAAGGAAAAAATATCATTTTAAAAATATGCTTGACTGACCTCAATACCCAATTGATATATAAAGTGTAAAAAAATTTAAAAGACATTAATAAAAAATTAATCAAAACTGTTTGATGAGGTGGAAACATCTTATTAAAATAAACAACTAATTAAGCAGGATTGTAGACTAACTGGTTGAAATGAGACATTTTGTGAATATCATTTAAAAACAATTGGTCATTTCCCTGTTGGATCTAATTTAGATCCTGTAGGAGACACATATCACAAAAAGATCACAGGAATTCTCAGATCTAGGAGTGACTACACGCATAGGATACCCAAGAGGATAAACATTTTTATTTTTATTTTTAGTGAAAAATAATTTACTTGATAAAAAGTTGTGTTTGTTCTAAAACACTATAAAATGAAATAAAATTCAAGTTTTTCAAAACATACCCTTATCAGTAAAGTGAAGGGAAACTCATCTAATTCCGGTCTTAAAAAATTGTCCAGCAAGTACAAAGAAACTTTCTAATTTAATGCCTCCTCCCCTCTAATTTAATGCCTCCTGCCTAAATAAGATTTGAGTATTCGATCTGGTAAAACAACACACCAAACATTTATCTTTTGATCAAATTAACTATTAGGTTGAATCCTGTAAAGCTTTTATCACGTTAATCCTGTAGCTTGGTGTAAGATCAGTTCTTTTAAAGATGCATTTATATGCGCATGACAAACAAATTTAAAAAGTGAGCCAAAACTCAAAACGAATAAAATCAGAAAGCTCAAACAAAACAGGAACCCATATAACACTATACACAAAAAAAAGATATGTATATGTGATAATGTATATAACACTATACACAAAAAAAGATTAAGTAAAACAGAAAAGGTATGAAGAAAAATGTGAAGAGATAGAAAAAAAATCAAAGAAACAACATATAATCAAGAAAACCATACTGTTCGATGAGAATCAAAAATATAAAAAATATCAAGATCAGACTGAAAAGATAAAAAGTGAATATTCACGACAATATTTTCAGGGATGAAAGTTCAGGACTATATTATTAAAAAATAATACTGACAATCATCCAGACACAACAAACAAAAAAGTCAATTAAACAAAGCAAACAATTAAAAAGCCAATTAAACAATACATAAACTAACAGGTTCTATTCAACAGATTTAAAATAAACCTACTAAATTATTAATATTGAAGTGCTCAACCACTCAACTGATGCCTTCAGAGACATAGGATTGAATGAAATTTAAAGGATATAGAGAAGATTGGAGATAAAGGGATCATTTGTAAATCTTTCTAGCATGTTTTGTATGTACCATATTTATATTTGTGCTAAAAGGCTTTAGTGCCTGCTTGCCTGCCTCTTTTGGACTGAGGCCTTGCTTCAACAAAGGCACTTTCATATTTGCACTGCAAACTCTGTTCACTGTGTCGTTTTAACCCTGCTGAACTTTTTAAATGTTTTTGTCAGTTTGTTGCTGGTCCACTCATGTTCCACCAGAAACTAGGGAATGGATTGTCACTCCTGTTATAACCCCACATGCCAGCAGAAGGCTAATGAAACATAGATGTCTCATAGTATCTAAAGTCGAGAACTAGATAAGAAATATTAAAAATGAAAAAATGTAGAAGATGAATTCTTTGTAAATTTCAGAGATTGCAATGGGCAATATAGAAAATGAGCATAACAATGACAAGGTCATAGAAGTGGCAATAAAAAGAGTAACTAAATAAATATCAATTAATGAGATAAAGACATAGAGGAAAATTCAAAGCAAGTATATTATGAATTATAATTAGAGAAACATCATATGAAAATGACAAATTTCTACAGTAAAAATAGAATATTCTTAAGTCTGAATCATTATGGAAAGGAAATAAAAGGTGTTTTAACATTATGTGTCCAAAGTATTAAAAATGACAAAATTAAAATAAATTCAGAGTCCAGAGTTAACAAGGATCTAGAATCCAAGAATAAGTTTCTTTAGTTGTTCCAAAGAAAAAGGTCATAATTTGGTATCATATTCATTTTGTAAAATAAAAAATAAACCTACCTGGAATCTGAAGATTGCCTACAGAATAACCAGCAGTACCAGCTATGCAATAACCACCCCTTCCCACACTTTGTACATCCCTAATTCTTCCTCCAGTTCCTGTAGTGGCTCCACTGAAAGGGGCTACACCAGTGGGGAAATTGTGAGTTTCTGCAGTGAAAATGAGATGAGATTCTACTGGCACTTGCTTGAGCTCACTGAGGGAACCTGCTGTTACAGGTCTTAAACTTCTGTGTAAGAAGCCCTTAATTGCACTGAAAAAATTAAAATTCCATTTTAGTTGAGGTTACAAGATAGTTAATATTCTTATGTATGAACTACTGTAGGAAATTGGTAAATTTAAAGACATTACTCAAATAGAACCTTTAGTAAGTTTGCATTTCCAGTGGGTATACATTATAGAAGATGAATTAGAAGAGCTAAAGTAATGAAAACATCTTTGAAACACATAAAATGCCCATAATATATACAATTATTAGTAAATAAATATAAGTATATCAATTTATTCAAGTAAATGGTTAGATGTATCTTAGACAAAAATAACAAAGTACTAGTAATAATATGACAATAATATCAAAAGGATGTGAACAAAATACTCTGATAATTTATTAATCAAATAATTACCAAGGAAACAAGTACAACCATAGAAATAGTGAAATCAATGGTGGCCAAAATAATAAACAAGGAAGCTATTGAACCTGAAGCAGTACAAAAATAAAGTCAGGTAAAGCAGTTGGACTATATGCTATTGCTGGAGAAGTACGGAGAGCATTAGTTAAGACATGGTCAAGTTGGGCAACAAGTAATTTAAGAGAATTATGAAAGTGGAACAAAAGTCAAATGAACATAGAAGCATTGTCTTACTAACTATTATCATTGTCTAGAATGGTGGAGATGTGCTGGACTAATATAAAAACAGCATAACTAGAATATTACCTATATTTGAAGCTGTTAGTATAATAGATGGGTGTGTATATTTTATAAGTTAGAATGATTAGAATGGTATGGATGAAGCAGAAGGTATGGAGTAGGGTGTTGTGTTACAGGCAAATTTCAGTAAAAGTTAATGGAAAATCATACAAGTTCACCATAAGAAGAGTTATAGTGTATGTCACTGCACAGTAGTAGCCAAATTATTATGGACACTTCACAGATTAATGCATTTTCTAATTTAACTAATTTTTTGGCCAATACTTGATTCTGAGTCTCGTATTACTGCTTATGTACAAGGGCATATATATTATTGAGATTACAAAGATTTTAGGTAAAGGTATTTATTTTAATTATAAAAAAGTGTAAAAATTATTGTAATATTTAGTGATGCCACCCATTGCAGTAATTACAGTTACTACATGTTGGGGCATATTCTCTGTACAATTTTTTCATTCACACAAAGTTCATTCAAATTACTCTTGGTACTGATCACTTCTGTGGCAAAAGCCTGTTTGGTTAATTCCCATACCTTCTTAATGAGTTTCATCTCAGGCAAGTTTCTGTTGACTCCTCTGATACTCCTGACTTTATTGTGCATAAAAGTAGAATTTTCATTGCCAGGGAACTATTCTTTGAGCTGTGGTAGTTTCAAGTACTTATGTGTTTGTACTGATCCTACCTCTTAGTCATTTTAATGATATACAGGCACCCATACCCTTGGCTGAGATTAGAGATCCTAACATGTCACTCATAGGGTGTTTAACCCTTATAATTTCCATGGAGCAGTGTGGAGAGATTTGCTCCCCTATGTGTCCATATGAATAAATTTTGTCTCCCAAAATTAATTAACAATTAAACAACAATGTGTAACAGTATGTTAGGTTTTCTAATATCTGATTTCCTGTAAGTTGATTCACTGGAAAAGCACAACTGTAAAAATTAAAATAATTGCTATTCATCAACTACAATGCAGGGGCGGGGATCTAACATAGGATATGACTGTTTGGCCTATTGCAGTCTCTTTTTCTCTATTGTTTTGGTAAGGTAAAGTTTTTTCTCATAGGCTGACAGTTAAGTAGGTTCTCTCAGGCCAACTTTCTTCAGACTGTTCTATTGGAAATAATACTTAACTCACATCATTTATCATTGTAGTAAGATGTACCACAATATTAGTTTAAACAGTAACTAAAAAACTAGGTACTTAGAAAAATATTCAATTGCAAAAAAATTCATTCATATTTATCACAAATTAGAAAGAAAATTGTATATAAGTAATTGTCCTATAAAACAATAAATATATGTAATACCAATTGAAACTTTTATGAAACGAAAAAGTTTATGAGTAGACTCAAATACCTATGACATTTAAAAGTGCAAGTTTAAGTATATCTAAGAGTATAAAGTCACTGATATTAAGTATATGATACTCTACTTACTATCAACATACTAACCAAAATACTATCAAAAATAGAAATTTTAAACCAGAAAATGCTTCTATAGGATTAAACCTCCAGCAGACAGGTGATGCCTGTCAGGCCTCACCTGTATGGAAATACAATGTAATTTTATTACGCCAATCTGCTGGAGGGTCAAGCATCAAAAGTACTAAAAGTCAAATAAATAAGTTATAGAAGATAATATCAATTAGTAGGAATCAAAGCCTAAACTAAGCTTTAAGTATTATTAATGAATAAACATAATATATTTACAATTAAATAAAAATGTCTAAGAATAGTATAGGGTTTTCTAATATCTTTTCTAATATCATATATATTTTAAATTACTTATGTAGTATAAATTAATACGTTGCATTAACATAGTTAATCATTTTGTATGCTTACCTACTATTATCACTGAATTTTATAACATTGTTGGGATTTGTGTGCTTTTGAGTTTCAATAATCATATCTATCAGTGATTGCTTATGCTCTACACCATCAATAACCATTTTTCCCTTAAAAAACCAATGTCTGCTGTGTTCACTATTAGATTGAGCCAAGTCGAAGCATTCAACATTAGTGGGATTCCTCTTAAGAACATTCTTAAACAAATTTGTGTAATATATTATATCTGCTTCATCGAAGGCCAGACCAAGTTCTTTATCAATGGCTTTTAAAGCATCTGCACCTTTTCCTAATATATCAATGTCTTTTATATCTTCCTTTTTAACAAGTTTTTCATTAAAGCTAACTTTAGGTATATTTTCAGGAGTATACCTGCATTCAGTCATTCTATCATATAGTAAAGATGCTAAATTATTTTCAATTTGAGGTGTCAGTTTGGTACCTTCATTAAATAATAAAAGATAGCGACGTGAGACCTCTAACCTAGTTACTTGGACCAAACCGAGATTTTGGCAAATAGAAACAGCATTTGTGGAACTTGATGTGGAAAAATTAAATCTAGGTCCTACTTCAACCAAAGCCGTACCATTTTTCGCTACCAGGGTTCCTTTTTCGCTTAGATTTTGGGGATGGAGAGGATCTTGAAGAACCCATTTCAAAATCTTAACGTCTTTTGTTTCCAAGGCACTTGTTGATTCGATATGAAAACATATTTCCGTTTGAATATCCTTTAAACTTTTACATGTTTGCTGAAGCTTTTGAAGAATTTCAAACTTTTTTGCTGCTGTACAACCAGGCGTGCGGTATAACCTCAAAATTCCACCTTGTTTTTTCATTTTCTCTTTCACTGCACAAACTAAACTAATGATATGAAGCACAATTTCTTCATAGAAAAATCACAATCTCTCTGACGTAAACTTCTTACTTCTAACTGAAAAATAATTGATAATAAAGTTCATGTTTACAAAAATAACTTTGATAACCTCATATTTAACACCAAACAACACCAATATCTCTGCCAGCAACCAATCACACATTTATATTTACCTAACCAAATTCTTTTACTTCTATTGGTGTATTGCCATCGCCACATGGTAATGTACGAATATAGGCAATTCCTTTTACTTGAATAAAAGACCTTCATCATAGGTATAGAGCAGTGCTTCCCAAACTGTGCGCCGCGCGCCATGGTTCGACTACAGGGGCGCCGCGAAAGTTTTCTTCCAATATTAGACATAATCACATAATTACCTTCAAGTATTAAATAAACATTAAACTAAAGTTGTTATGACAACTTTTTAATTTTTAAAATATACCTATATAAAAATGTTTCCCATGATAAACGAGTTCAGTTATTCGTAATTTTATTTGATGCTGACAATATATCCTCGATATTTTAAATTCAACGAAACAATTCTGTCACTACTGTAAATTGACTTCGGACCGACAGGCCATAAATCACTGCCGGTCGGCAAATTCAATCCTCTCTTTGCACGTGCACATTTTAAAACTATAAATTTTTACTTATCTAAATTTTAGTTAGTTGAATTTGTAGTTTCATACTGTTCGCATCGTTTCGTTTATTAGTGTGATAATTTTTCGACTGTTCTAACAACCATTCAAATTTCGTCATTTTATGTCATGTGGAACAATTTCACCCATTCATGTCAACATTAGACTGATAATTGCATTCAGTGCAATTTTCAATCCCTATGACAACACGATCGAGTTTGACAACTTCATCCAAATAAATTTCAAAATGTCACGTTTCTATAAAACCCATACCATACTTGAATCTCGATCAAGAACACCACAACAAGATTATAAATATTATGCGTGGTAATAGATCTTCTATAGTAGAGAACAGCAACGAATCTGTTAACTTAAATTTTAATAATTGTACTTTCACTAACTGTACTTTTAATAAATAAATGTTTCGTTATGTTGAGTTAAGATTTTTTTTTTTCGAAAAATTATCCGCCGAATATCTCTCGGACATTGATGAAAACCTCATAATTTCATGACAAATTTCTCAAGCTCGTTGCTTTCGATTGTCATGAAATTATCTCGTCTCTTATCAATGTCCTAGGGATATTACTACTGAATATAAACAGGGTTTTTTCACCTACTTGTGTACAAAAGTTGCTGTAAAAATGGAAAAGCTTTTGAATTTAAATAAACAAGGTGGTTCTAAAAATAAAGTGGATGCACCACAAACTAGTGGTAGAGTCGTGAAGAAACGAAAATACCGTAAATATGATGACAGCTATTTGGATTTTGGCTTTACATCAACAAACGTCAATGATGAAGAGAGACCACAATATGTATTGTGCCTGAAACTTTTGGCTCCAGAATGCATGCTTCCAAGTAATTTAAAACGCCACTTGGAAGCCAATCATCCAAACTTTGCTGACAAACCTCGTAGCTTTTTTACTAGGAAGTTAAATGATTTGAAGCAACAAAAAGGTAACTTTTCCAAGCATTTGTCGATACCTAAAAATGCTTTGCTGGCATCATGCAAGGTTGCGTATAAAGTTGGAAAGTGTAAAAAGCCCCACACAATCGCAGAACAATTAATTTTACCGGCTGCTGTAGATTTGGTAAACATTATGATCGGAGAATCTGCGGGAAAACTTCTTTCATCGGTGCCTGTATCTAACAACACCATCAGTCGCAGAATTCAGCGTATGGCGGAGGATCTTAATGATCAAATAATTGAAAAAATAAAAAAAAGTGAATTTGCGTTACAGTTGCATGAGGCAACAAATTCTAGTAAAGATGCACACTTGATTTGTTACATAAGGTTCTTGGATGATAATACCATTGTGGAGGATCTTCTGTTTTGTAAAAAAAATCACTGCAAGTACAAAGGCGCAAGACTTGTTCGAGATCCTGAATACATTTGTGGTTGAAAACAATTTGGAGTAGACAAAGTGCGTTGGTGTTTGCACTGATGGTGGTCGTTCAATGTCTGGCCGTTATGGAGGATTACAGGCGCTTGTTCGAAACAAAGCTCCGGATTTAGTATGGACCTATTGCATCATTCATAGAGAAGCGCTTGCATCAAAGAATCTGAGTCCTTCACTAAATTTGGTCTTGGAACGTGTGGTAACTGTGATAAATTATATAAAAACTAGGCCGGTGAAAGCAAGGTTTTTCAAAAAAATGTGTGAGGATATGGGTGCAGAACAAACGTCTCTGTTATACTACTGCCACTCACGATGGCTCTCTCGTGGTAATGTTTTGTCTCGTACGTTCCAATTACGGCAAGAAATGTACATTTTTCTTGAAGAAGAAAAACACCAGTATGCCAAGTACTTTGTGGAAACGGATTTTTTGATTCAACTAGCATACTTATGTGATATCTTTGAAAAGTTAAATGCGTTGAATCTCTCCCTGCAAGGCCGCAACACGCACATTTTAAAATTGGCGGAGAAGATTTCAGCTTTCAGAAAAAAATTAGAAGTATGGAAGAGAAAAATTAATGATAATAATATCAATGATTGTTGTCCCTTGTTGCAGGAGGTTATTATCTCCAATGAAGTTAATATCTCTTGCAATATTAAATCTATTTTTGCGGATCACTTATCAGAGCTTATCAAATGGTTCGAAAAATACTTTCAAGCTGATAATATCGACCAGTTTGCATGGATTCAAGATTCATTTAGAGCGGAACCTCCTTCTGAATTTACTTCTTTAGAACAAGAAAATCTCATTGATTTGTCTTGCGACAATACGTTGAAGACAAAGTTTGGCTGGACGGAACTAACTGATTTTTGGATATCCTATTTTTGCAACATCCTATTTGTGCGAAGCTGGGTTTTCGGCGGTTGCTGTAATAAAAAGTAAATACCATGCGAAAATGAACGTGGAACAAGAAATGAGGGTAGCTGTGTCCAGTTTGATTCCGATATTTAAAAAGTTGTGTAATGAACAAGAACAAGCTCATTTATCCCATTAATTACTGTAATTATTTTTTCAATAAATTGTTTGTGAATTTAAAGTATGTTTCATTATTATTAAATTAATCCAACCATATCAACTGCAACAGAAACCGTATTAACTACAGTTAAAGTTAGACGTTAAATCAATATTTTGACTCAGGGCGCCGCGGAAAAATTCTAGTTTATTAAGTGCGCCGCGAACTAAAAAACTTTGGGAACCACTGGTATAGAGGGTGAAGAAAATCTCTTTACAGAAAAGAAAAAAAATTGGGAGGAATGTAACATTGATTTAACGTAAATCATATATATTATTTCAAATGCCTATGAATCGTACTATGAATATACTAAAATCAAGCATAGTAGAAAATATGCACATCATTATAAGAATTTTTAATAACGTCACATCCGTGGACTTTATTTATACGTCCATGTTCACATCAAATATAAGACTACGCTATTAGGGAGAAAAATTCTAGACGTTGAAGTCAATATTTTTAATAACGTCACATCCATGGACTTTATTTATACGTCCATGTTCACATCAAATATAAGACTATGCTATTAGGGAGAAAAATTCTAGACGTTGAAGTCAATATTTTTAAGAACACTCAAAGCCAAGAAATGGATATGAATCAAGATTTGCAATGATCAATCCATTTAACGTTTATCTACGTTCTAATCAACCACAACAATATCTAAAAAAGTTGGCTAGAGAATAATTTTGTAGAAGCAAGTAAATTTATAATTTAACCGTATAAAAGCAGAACCAGACATTCAAATTTTTTTTTTAAAGAGTTGTGTATGAGTTCCTTATGGAAACATTGATATGAATCCGTTTATCTAACCCATATGTTCACAACAGACATTTGAATGGCATCATTCACGGTCAGCCTTAGATGCAAAAGCCGACATTTGTATACACCTGTTACGTGCAAGGCAGACATTTCCAACCAACCAATAGCACTACAGCCCATATCGGACCTTGGCCTCCTTCAACAAGCTTCTCCAATCATTTCGATTTACCGCTGTTCTTTTCCATAAACTCGTTCCTAACCAGTTCCTGGCATCCTCATCTACTTCGTCTTCCCATATCATTTTAGGTCTTCCAACAGGTCTTTTTCTCTGCATTCTTGCATTTAGTAATTTTCTGGGGATTATATTCTCATGTATGCGGACCACGAGCCCTGCCCACCGTAATCTCTGCAGTTTAGTGTATTGTGCTAGAGTTGTTTCGTTCCGATATATTGCTCGTATATTTCTCTATCATACCTAATTCGTCGTTGTTTTCACTTATTGGGCCCAGTATCCTACGTAATATTTTTCTTTCAAACACATCTAATGCATTGTTGCCTAAATATTGTTTTATAGACCCGGAGTTTTGTTTTCCGGTGTATATCTCGCGATTTGAATATGTGTCCCATCGCGAAATAGGCTTTATTTGTCAGCACAAGCCTTCTATTTATTTCCGGTTCCTCTTCATTGCATGCGACCAGATCCATTGGTCCATATCGTCAATAGAGAGTTGTTGCGCCGGTCTATTTGATCTGGTTTGTATGAGTAGTTTTGTTTTATTTGTATTTGTTGCTAGCCCTACTGCTTCTGCACTATGTTTCAACTCAACGTAGGTTTCTTCCGCTGCATTCACTGTTCTGCTCATTTTGTATATATCATCTGCGTATGCTGCTAATTGAGTAGATTTTTTTGTGAGTATGTTATTTCCGCTCATCGTCAACTGTTTAATTACACATTCAAGAATAGGTACGATTAAAGAGCGTTGGAGCCAGTCCGTCGCCTTGTTTCAGTCCTTGCGTTATCGTAAACGCATCAGTGATCTGTCCTTGAATACATACCTGTGCTCATGTTTCTGTCAATGTCATTTGCACTAGTCGTAATAATTTTGATGGTATGCCAAATTCTTCCAATATATTAGGTAGAATTGTTTTATCTATTGAATCATAGGCTTGTTTAAAATCTACACATATATTGTAAATGTCCATGTCATATTACCATGCTTTGGCTAGTATTTGTTTAACTGTAAATAGTTGGTCAATGGTAGATCTATTTT